TGGTTTGTTTATTTTCGGTTGTGGTTTTGTTGTTGTTAGTGTTTTCGTTTCTTCTATAAGGGAAGAGAAGAAGATGTGCCAGCCCTTCCCAAGGCTTCCCTTGATGCAAAGCTAACAGATGGCGTGTTCTTATTTTACTTATTTCTAGTCCTCCTTCTGTTTCTAGTTCTGCTTTTTTGGAGATTAGCATCAATATGTATCACTTTCTTAAAAAATAAATTTGTTTTGGAAAGGGCTAAGTGATGAAAGTGTGGATCAGGATTTAAACCTCATCTTCTATTTCAGGGATAGCATCAAGGTGGCTCTTATGTTTGCTCCATACCTGTTAGCAGGTTGGTAGGTGTGACTGAAGATGGAAAGTGAAAATGATGCAAATAGCTACTGAGGAAATTCTCTTCTGCTGACCATTCTTTTGTCTGTCTTGTAGTTATATAGACAATCACCTTACCATCTCAGCACTGTTATCTAATGTAGAGAATTAATTACTGGAGGTGCCAAGGCTTGAGGTCTTGGAGCAGAATTCCTACAACCAGTTGTCAGGACCTTAAGAAAAAACTTGCCTTTCAGGGTAGATTATTCCAGAATGTCTGCTGCAGTGTAATTTGAAATAGCTTGCACTGGATACTGCCGTAATTGGCCTGCTGGCCTGACTATGATGCGGACTCCTGAGTTCCTGTATTTGTAATTTAAATAGGCAGCTCTAACATGAGACACAACTTCAAAGGGTTGCTGTATATGAGAATAATTTCTACAAATAATATCAGACATAATTGCTGCACTTCATCTTGTCATTTTTCTGTTAGGCAAACTCTCAGCTACCTTTCTTAAGAGAAGCAGAAACTTTGCCCTGCCTTGCTAGAGTCTGCCTACCCTCAGGAAGCATCTGAAGCTTGTCACAAGTATGTAGTATGGGAGGCCATAATGTAACTATACATTTTCCTGATTTTCATAGCATTTAGTTTCAGCCTTCCCGTATTATCTTTCTGGGTGTGGGAAGAAGAGGGCATTTCTAAGGCCACGTCTCCCCTAGGTGTGCATTGCAGATATAGTACGTGTTGTGCTTTTAGCAGTAGGGATTTCTTTAGCCCCAGCACGTTTTGTGATCACCTACTTTACTTTCTTTTCTCTAATGACTGACTTTACTCTTGAGAGTGAAACAGACTGTATTAACAAAACCACAGCTTTGCAGATTCAGCTGTATTTGTTGTATGGACTTCATCCAGCATAGCTGACTTGTTTTGGGATTTAGTTGCTGGAATAAGTAATTTTTTGTAAGATAAATATGGTCTGAGTAACTTCTAGTTCTTGAAAAAAAATGTTGTTTATGAATAGCCTTTAGTTTTTGATTTATTTTGCTTTTTTTGGGTGGAGAAACATGTCTAATACATTAGTTTTCTATCTTCTATCTATCATTCTTTGAATAATTTGAGATATTTCTATTCTGAAAGTCTCCAGTTAGCTCACTGACAGTGTAAAAAGAGATACGCAGCTATCACACTTGACTCAGAAGGGCATTGATTTTCTTACAGATAACAACCATACACTTTTTATCTGCTATTTTATCTTGGTTACCCATGTTGCTGAACTTTGTAGAATTAGGCATTATGTTTTTAGCAGATCAAGAAATCTTGTTCCTATTTTCCAAGTTTTGTGTGTACAGTAAGGAATTATTACATTATCTGACAGAATTCATAACAGAGTTAGAAATTACTTATGGATTGTAATGTTCAGATGAATCTACTGTGTACTTTACTCAGTAATTTTAAGTATGAAATGATTCTGCTTCAGGTAGTTCGGTAAGATTGGCTGACTTGTGCTCTGTACTCTGACTTGCTCAGCCGGTGAAGAAAGGAACCGAATGAGATGGGTGCATTCTGCCCTTTCAACTGCAGCCATGCCTTTAGTGCTTCTAAAATACTTCTGATTTACTGATGCCATTCACAGCAGTAGTAAAAAATAAAGAAATTTTTTTTAAAAAGTAAATAATCTGTATTATATTTCTGCTTCAATTTATTTCTTTCTTCCTATGCCTTAGGTTTTTTGACATCTTTTAACCTACCCCTAAAGGACTCAAGAGCCATGCCTGGTATGATATTGTTCTCTTGTAGTTGGTGCAGGGAACTGTAAGGCTGGATCATGGAAGCTTTCCTGAAACTTAAAAAAATCAGCCTAAGGCAGATGGAAGACTTTAGTCCAGGAGATTCTGCAAAGTAATGTGTCAATTGATGCAAAGAATTGTTGCCTATCTTTTCTACTCTGTAATACATTATTAAACATTGATAGTTTAGAGAGTTTTGCAGGGAATGAACTGTGGTTTCATCATCAAGCCTTTGCTGACATAAATGCTTGATAAACATAGCAAATGTGAAGCTGGGAGTTCAATAGAATTCTACAGATTGCTTAACAGATACAGCAAAGCTTTGATAACCAGATTTCCATAAGGACAAATGTGCCCTTCTTTGTTGTCTTATACTGATGGAACTTTTTTTTAGATTCAGAGAAAGTCCCTTTTTGTTCTTTACTGTTTTTGTAGTTCCTCAATGGAAAAAGTGTTACAAACTGCCTGTGGCGCTATGGAAGCATGGAGACAGGATAGTCATCTATTGAGACCCTCGAGGAACTATTGGGCAAAGTGACAGAAATGAAGAGCTTGAACCATCGCTTCAGCATGGCGGCAGCTGAATCTGACAAGGACTCTGGATATTCAGGTTTAGAAAACCACTGCATTATCTTTTTTTTTTTTTGTGTTGTCTTGCTCAGATGTTGCTTTTATTGGTGATGTTTTTGACAAATCTGACTCTAACCCCTTATAGTTTGTGTCTCGTTACCTGGGTGGGTATTTGTATGCAAGACAGGTTGCATCTGCAGTCATCCTACCATCAAGCTTACTTTGAAGTGGAGCTTTATGTAGTTATAAAGTTCATCCTGTGAATTTGAATGGCATGGGAATTTAAAATGTGCCTAATAAAGAAATGAAAGGACGAATCTCAGACTTCAGAGTGCAGAAGTGGGGATGGAAAAATTACTTTTTGTTCTTTGCAGTGATGAATGAACTGTTGAATTATGCTGTCTAATGTCTCTTATGATTTGACCAGATTGTCAGTAGAGCCTGATAAACCAGAGAGTAATTGTTACAACATCAGTAAAATGCAGACACGGTGTGCCATTTTAGTACTCAACAAAACTGTGCAAAGATGGCCTTTAAAGGGAAAAAACTGCTTTTGTGAGACATACCTGCTTTACTGGGTTTGTAGATAGAAGATTTCAAGACACAAAATGCCTGTAGCGCAGACTACGTCTGTGGCAGTGCTGCAGCCTGTAGTTCTTTCCTGCACCAGGTTTTAGAGCAGTCTTTGTGATAGTGCATAGTCCCTTGGAGACTAAATACAAAAGAACAAAAAGTAATAGATTTTTTGGGGAGATGATATCTGTGTGAGAATTAGCCTGAAATATAGTCTTTTATTATTGAGTTCTGAGCTATTTGACAGCTCTCACAACAGGTCTAACTTTATAGGTATTCCAGAATTGAACTTTATTGTTCTTCGTGGCTTCCTTGAAAGGAAGCGGAATAGTAGAACTGAAAGGTGGTAGCAAGCATGCTGCATGTGAAACAACTAACAGCTGAATTCTACATCTGGCAGATGGAAGTTCAGAGTGCCCGAGTGCCATGGAGCAGACTGAGTCGGAGGATGTGCTGAACGCATTGTGTTGGAATGCAGAGGATGGGCCTTGGCAATGCCCCATGACCACAAGCAACTCCTTTCCTGCCCTTTCCCCTATGGTTGTAATGAAAAATGTGTTAGTTAAGCAGGTAGGCAAGAAATAATATATTGAAAAATATTGCATGTTCTTAAATTGTTGGGAGTTTTAAAAAATATTTTTCCTTTCAAAAAGATTTTACAAAGTTGTTGCAGTCCATAAAGTAATTGGTAACTTGAAAAGTTCTATTGTGGCAGCCTGTTCTTTTGAGGGGCAGCTAGAATCACTAAGGTGGAAAAAAATGTGAAATGGAGAAGCTCTGCTACATCTACCAAATCTCTTTGTCTCAAAGGGATCCCCAAAAAATAGATCTTTATGAATGTTATGTACATAGCACCAAAGATCAAACAAACAAAAAAAAGAGTGTTTTTCCTTTTGAAAGCTGATGTTTTCTTTCTCTTTCAATAAAGACAGTAAAGTAGGATGATAGGTTTTGTTTCCTAGTTCTTAGGTCCTAGAAGTGCTTTATGTACAATGGGAAACACTAGTCCAGAATGTTATAAATGAAAAAATTAAATCAGTATCTGAAGTTAGCTGTGGTATTTTTACTTTAACAGTTGTTTCGCTTAATTGCACGTGATGGCTCACATTGTAACAGTTACATTCCCTATTTATGTCCTCCAATATCTTGTTATGTGGTGTTCCTCCAGCACATCTGTGAGACTCCTAACTTTTACATTGTAACAGTTCAGAGCTCCAAGTTCAAAGTATTGCCATATTATTAGACCTCTTACTCCGTACTCACTCGTGTTTCCTGAGCAGAACAAAAGTTCTTTAGCATTTTTTATTAGAATACTTCTGAGAATACAGTAAGAAGGGGAAAAAAGAATGTAGATCCTGATTCTTTTTCTACTGAAGCTGTTATGACAAGTAGCAAAGCCTGTTAAATTCAAGTACTGTGTATCAATGCTAATACAGGTGTTTCTGTGTTAGTGTTTGGCAGGTTATGCATTTGTGAGGGAGATGGTTCTGATCTCTGAGCATTGTGCTTTATCTTGACAAGAAACAATTTTATTTTATAGTCATGTTCCTAGATGCGTGGACAAAATACTGTCTAAACAAATGCTAAAGTTTTCACATAGAAAGGAGCAGGCAAGTTTCACCAAAGGTTGTTAGGCTTTGACCCAGAGCTCAAAAATTAAGCACTGATCGCAGTGGTAGTCTTTTGTTAAACTCCAGATTGTGTTGCAAACAGTTAGAAGAAGTAGCTCATAATAAGTAGGTAATATAAAAAAATATATATAAAAAATATATATATGAAAAAGAAACCTGGTAGTGTAGCAAAAATGGAATTTGAGGAGGAAGAGTTGGAGGTAGATAAATGTACTGACTCAGTTCTCTTGAGCAGTGCATCATAACATTTGAATCTAATTATGTAAGGTTAAAGACAATAATATTAAATTGAAAAATGTTTACTGCAATAAACAAAAAGCAACAAGTCTAGGTCATAATAATAATAAAATGTCTTTCTGCCTCTTTCCAGTATGTCTAGTTGCCTCAGTCATGCTGGTCATCTTTTTAAAATCGTCTTTTCAACACAGTACTCAGTTGGGCTTACTGGACCAAAAAAAAAAAAAGCAGCATCCAGTTACTGCTGTTTATTTGTTCCAGTTTCAATTTCAATCAGCATCATACTTCTGTCTTAGAACCACTATGATCCTGCACAGTGATGGTTACCTCCTGTCCTAATTTCAGAGTGTAAACAGCTAACAATGTTACTAAAAAAAAAAAACCAAGCAGAGATTTATTCTCTGAAACACAGTGCTGCTTGTGGCAAGGTTTCTGCAAGTCTTGTAAAAGTCCTTAATAAGTCAGAAGGCTTTTTAGACAAGTGGCACTGATACATGCTTTCATTTAAAAAAAACAACCAAACAAACAAAAAAAAATGAACCAAAACACACAACAAAGAAACCAACAAACCACTTTGCAGGATTACTAAAATAAATGTGTCTTTCTCTACTAAAAATGAGATTTTTGGGTAGGAGAACAAGAGCAGAATGCAATATGAGTGGAAAGGAGAAGAAAGTAGATAGCAGAGACAGGAAAAAACAAGATAAACAGTTACCACAGCTCTTCTGGCCCCAATGGTTTTGGGGCTCTGCTGTACTAGATACTGTACAATTGTGCAGTAAATGACAACTTCTGACCCCAAAACCTTGTTCCTTAAGGCTGCATGTTCTGTCCTGTGTGTGTATAGCCATAGTATTTATATACTTCCTCACTCCTAACATCTCCAGATACTTTTCTTTTGAATATGTTTGCCCTTTCTTCTGTGATAAGGTAGTAATATTTTTTTTTACAGGTAGTTGTTCTATACCCCTATTCCATAAGCATCTTGCCAACTGAACCAAAGAAATTCTGTGTTAGAGTAGGTAACTGAATCTCATCTCCAAGTCTTGGTGTCCTAATCAGTGGATAATACCCACTTTTAACAAGTTCAGGTCCTTTACTGGGGGAATGGACTTCAGCAAAGCATGTTAGCATTTGCCAGTTTAAATCTTACGAGACTGGGGGAAATGAGATGGAGTTCAGTTGACTCAGTATAGTACCAAAAATAATAAAATGTATTTGCACTAGCTAAAAGCTGTGCCTTCAGCAGGCCTGCCAGTAGCGTTCCAAGTCGTAAGGAATAAGAAAAGCAGCTGGCAGTATATTATATTAGTATAATTGTAGTGGTGATTACTTCAATATATTAAGAAGTGAGATTTTGCTTCAGAAAGAAATAGTATCTCTTACTAGACCATTTGATACGTTTGGAGAAAAGCAGGCATGCTTTTTGGCCAGGAGATTCTCGTGCAGATCTGTAGTAATGGAGGAGAAAGAGGTAATGTCTTGTAAAAATTGATGTTTTCCCCTATATTGTATAATATGACTTGTAGGAGGGCATAAGAACTTGGGCGTTTTTCTTGAAATGTAATGCTTTTAAGGTTTATCGGTATGGACTATTTCACCAGAGGTATGGTGTTACTGCTCTGGGCTTACAACAGCCTTTTTTCCTTGCATTGGTTGATATTCAGCACTTTTTTTTTTTCTGCTTCATGGTTTTAAATTTTTTGAAACTATGTATTGTACTTAAGATTGCAAGACTTACTGAACAGCTGTCGTCTATTTTAAATAACCATTCCAAAAGCTTCCTTTAAGAATAGAATTGTCAAGATTAGAGTTGCTGCCTTTCATCAGAGAGAGTCTGAATTGTTCTTAAAATGTCTGTGCAGTCTGTCTTTGATTATTTTAAAATATTTCATAACCACAATGCTGAATTATTTATTGACTTTTCTGTACACTTGTTTGACTCCAAGTCTGGGTCTAACTTTCACATGAGCATTGTACAATATAAGCATGCACTGTAAATCTCATTTAGGAAAGCATGTATAAATTCAGACTGAATTGTTTTTAAATGTACCTGCTGTTCCATAGTAAAAGGATTGTGGATTACAGCTTTGATTCTAGTGCTATGCTTTGTTGTCAAAGAGAGGAGTAAGTTTGATGGAGAACTGTTCAGAATGTATTAATTGGATAGTGCACATAAAACATGGAGAAATGGCACAGTCCACCTGTTTCATTTAAGGTTTTGTGATCCTCTTCTACAATGTTGTTGTAAGACTTATGTTTTTTCCCCATTTGTGCTTCTCAGGGGAGTTCATCACAGCTCCAATCTTGGACTGTGCAGCCATCCTTTGAAGTGATTCCAGCTCAGCCACAGCTAGTGTTTCTTCGTCCATCAATCCCACCTCCTATTAACCCTCACCCTATCGGGAAAAAAAGAAATGACTCCACTAATTACCTGCCCATCCTGAATTCGTATGCCAAAATAGCACCACAGCCCTGCAAAAGGGATCACTCCTTTGATCTGGAAGAACGTCAGGAAACCAGTTGCCATAAACGACTCTGCACAGAAGCACCCAAGATGGAGACTCCTCCTGTATTGAGGAGCACTGGCTTGCCTACTAGTCCTTTTGCCCACCTACCAGTTAGCTTTAAGACCCCTCAGGATTCTAACCAGGAAAGTTCTCCAACTCTAGTGACAAGTGGAAAACTGTCAGCTCTTCCTGGTTTTCATCGTGTTTCCAGTGACACTCAGAAAGTGCCGGGTTTGACTCCTATTTTGCCTTTTGGAACTCTGCAGGCAACAAAGTGCACCCCTCCTGAGAACGAGACTACAGCACAGACTACAATGCAGTCTGCAGTGTGGAGCCCTTCATTGATACCAGAAGAGATTTGCACTACCCCTGAGCTGCTCTTGCAACAACAAAGCAAGTGCAGACGCTTTCAGAATACACTCGTTGTGCTACGCAGGTCGGGATTGCTAGAGATCACTTTAAAAACCAAGGAGCTCATTCACCAGAACCAAGTGACTCAGGCCGAGCTGGACCGGCTGAAGCATCAAACACAGCTTTTCATAGAGGCAATAAAGAACAATGCTCCACAGTCATGGGCAGAGCTAGAAGCATCTCTAACAGGATCTGATAAATCTGATAGCAACCTTGAAGACCCCACTTATCCCAACATGTAGTAAAAAGGTATATAGCTATTGGTCAAGTTATTTCTGTGCCTCCTATTTCCTGTCTCAAGCTTTTACTTGAGCTTTCTGAGTCCAAGACTTGTGAAGTAGCGTGCCATTAAAAACTTGTCTTCAGAGCCAGTTGTGGGACCGCAATAGCATAGTAAGGTCTTGACAGAATGGGTACTTACTACTTCAGTGTGAGCTTGAACTCCACGCTAACTCTGTGTACTCCCTTGGACTCAAGAAGCTTGGATGTGCTCTGCTGGCATGTTCCCACTCTTGCAGTGAAAAGACAGTCATTTGCAGTATTCTGGAAGTAAGCGTTTCCTATTCCCATCTTCATAGTCAGTCTTCTGAGAATGGAACAGCAGAACAGGCCCCAATACTGGGCCGTCATCAGTTGCAAGCAGATGAAGGGAGCTGGTGTGGGGAGAGGAAACACGTTGGTGGGATGATATCTTTAGGCTGTCACTGTCCTTTGTTGCAGCAGAGAGTCTTGCTTTGGGGTTTTAATGCATTTGAATTAGTGGAGATCTGCTTGCGCTGAAGCAGCATTCTATATTCATTGCAGTCTTTGGTCAAATTGATGAATGTCTTAGGACCCAAGTGAAATGATGTTTTTTGATGAGTATACTTTTGATTTTGATCTGTACAGTTGAGTGAGTGAAAATCACAAGGCTTGCACTGGAAGTGTTTGTTCCAAACCCGTATTTATTAATGGCTAACAAGTGTACAAGGCAAGTGGCTTTGGATTTTCTCAGTAGCTAACAGATTAAATGTTGTTATTAAAGACTGTAGTGATTTCTTTTTAGAACAGTACAAGGAAGACATTAATTCACCAGGATTAATTTGGCAAGACTAGTTGCATATTATTTGATATGTGTATCTTTAGCTGACAAGCATAAATGCCTTTTTTGTGTGTGTGAAATCAGATTGTAATTATAAAAAAAAAAAAAGAGAGGTGAAAGGAAATGGCCTGTGGTGAAATAAGTCCTTCTCCCATCCCGCTTCCCTCTCGTTTTTGTTTAGAAAAATCAGATTAATGTACCGAGAGGAAAGGCAGCAGGCAGGGGAAGAGAGAGAGAGATGTCAGCTTGGATAATCTCCCTAAAAATTTTAGCTACCTGAATTTGAACTTTAAAAAACAAACAAACAAAAAACAACCAAACACCAGAACATTTTTCCTCCACATAGATTTATATCATTCCTAGCCTGCTTGTCTTGAGATACAGCTAACACCACTGTGTGCATAGGATATTAGGCCTTACTAGTAGAGGTGCACAGTAGTCATGTTACAAAAGCTGTTCTACAGACCATTTATTTCTAGACGCTTAACTATGTCACTCCCTCCAATCTGAAGGTTTTTTTTCAGAGGCAGGCTGTGTAGAGAACTAAGAATGGCTTTGTCTAAGAATGTTAAGGAATCTGGATCATTATGGTATGTTCCTTTCTGTGTGACAATGTTTTCAAAAAATTGTGCCATCTTGGTGACTGGGTATTTTGATGCTTTGATCATTTCTGTCATCTGATCTAGATCTTAAAAAAAGAAACTTGAAAGTAGAGTGGATGTCTTGCTAATTTGTGACTACACCCTTTCATTTTCTGATACCTCTGGGAATCAATATTGCAGAAGACTGTAGAGAATGCTTTTGTAGTCTTCCTCAAATATGTGCATTAGAGAAATTGTAAGGGACTTCTCTCTTGTAAGGAATTTCCCCCTTTTTATACTGATGAAAAGAAACGCTGTACATGCCTCATGAAGAGGAGATATCTAAGTCCTATTTGTACTAACCATAGGCCTAGAGAGAAACTTTGTGGCAGGATTTACCCCAGCAGAGCTATAGCAAACTAGTAGACATGCCTTTCATGGTATCCTGCCCACCTTCTGAAGACTAGTGCCGTACGTGGGAGTTGATTAAAAGAAAAGTGTTCATAGACTGTGTTCTGTCATGTATTTTTTTAAATATACCTGCTATAATTGTGCATACTAGGATGTCTCATAACTTGCAGCACAGCAGTATCGAAACTCAGCTAGCAAACCCAGAAGGCAGGAAGGCAGCACAGTACAGTTTAATAATGTAGGACATGTCCGATCTAGCTCTTTTGGAATCAGTTGTCATATCTGCACTGAATGACATTTGGCAGGATAGATGTGATGGTACCTTAGGTCATTTGTGAAAGAATCCCGAAAGATAAACTTGTTTCTTCTGAGCTCCTTACAGGAAGGAGAGGAGGCAGTAGGAGGCAGTTCCATTGTTTGGATACCTGTAATAGGCCTAGAGGTGAGGTGTGAGAAAATGCATAGGATATCTCTTCCTACTTTTCCTAAAATTCTTACTCTACCCATCAAATAGAGAGGAGAATTTGAAGTTCAGAATATATATATTTTTAGGATGTGATTGTCCTAGAAAACAAGATGATGGACTCAGGCTACCTAGAGATGAAGTCAGAAAAGAAGTTGCCCAATCCTAGCTGTTTGAGACAAGAAAAATAACCTCTACAGGTGACCTCTTCTCCATCCTATTTCCACTGCTCTGATAGAGTAAAAGGAAGGAAAACCTGGCCTTGCAGGGTGATACCCTGTGACTTAAGGAGACTCTAGTGGATAGAAACCTCTCATAGTCCACACAGTACCATGTTTTTTTCCCCCTGACAGAACTGAGGGTGGGCTGAAGTGGGTGTGCTTATAGCTGATGGGCCTTTCAGCTGGTATAATTTGTATAAATATATATTCAGTAAATCTGTGAATAAAGTCCAGCAGCTGGTTAGAAATCTCCTACTAGACATCAGTCCAGACTTTAATAGTATTTGCTGAACTAGAAAAATCCACTCTGGAACTATTATATGTAAATCTGGGGCCCCTTAGGAACCATATCTGTAGATTGATGGGCCGAGGCCAACTGTGTGAGGTTCAACAAGACCAAGTGCCGGGTCCTGCACCTCGGTCACAACAACTCCATACAACGCTACAGGCTTGGGGAAGAATGGCTGGAAAGCTGCCTGGCAGAAAAGGACCTGGGGGTGTTGGTTGACAGCTGGCTGAATGTGAGCCAGCAGTGTGCCCAGGTGGCCAAGAAGGCCAATGGCATCCTGGCCTGTATCAGAAATAGTGTGACCAGCAGGACTAGGGAAGTGATTGTCCCCCTGTACTTGGCACTGGTGAGGCCCCACCTTGAGTACTGTGTTCAGTTTTGGGCCCCTCACTACAAGAAAGATATTGAGGTGCTGGAGCATGTCCAGAGAAGGGCAACGAAGCTGGTGAAGGGTCTGAGGCACAAGTCTTAGGAGGAGCGGCTGAGGGAGCTGGGGTTGTTCAGCCTGGAGAAAGGGAGGCTGAGGGGCGACCTTATTGCTCTCTATAACTGCCTGAAAGGGGGTTGTAACGAGGTGGGGATCGGTCTCTTCTCCCAAGTAACCAGTGATAGGACAAGAGGAAATGGCCTCAAGTTGCACTAGAGGAGGTTTAGATTGGATATTACAAATAATTTTTTCACCAAAAAGATTGTCAAGCATTGGAACAGGCAGCCCAGGGAAGTGGTTGAGTCACTCTCCCTGGAGGCATTTAGAAGACATGTAGATGTGGTGCTTACGGACATGGTTTAGTGGTGGACTTGGCAGTGTTAGGTTAACAGTTAGGCTTGATGGTCTTAAAGGTCTTTTTCAATCTAAACGATGCTATGATAACTGCAAATCTTGATGCAACATTTATAAAAATAGGATGTTGGAGGCACCTTGTGATAGGTATGTCATCAAGTACCATTCTGTTCAGTTTCTTTTAGCTGTTTTTATTCCTGGAAGCCCTGATAAATGTTTAAACAATAAGGGCTTTCCTTTCTTGGCTGCAATTTAATAAAATATGTTAGCGGGGAACTGTGTTGAGAAAATTAGTTGACTATATCAAGACAAGAGTAGGTCCTGATTCTGGGCAGGATCTGGAAGTGGTCCAGTAGATTTGAGCAGAAACATTAGCCTCTCTGACTGGAAACCTATAAGCAATGAACTTACAGATTTTTTGACTTTCGAAGCAGCAAGACTTTGTATTAACAAGTTATCTGAAAACAGCTGTCCCAGTCTAAAAAGTCAATCAGATGGCCTGCTGGGGCTTCAGTTGCCGCTGACAACTAGCAGATGGGGCAACTTGATGGGTCAGACAGGCTGCTGTTTTTCTATTAAGTTTTAATAAATGTTGGTATTTTTGATTACTTTTACTACTTATTTTTGAAATTCTACTGCTCTAGTTGGAATGTAAACATTTTCTGTACTTTCGAAGTCTGTTGCCAGCTCTGAATACAGTAGCCTAAGAACTCTGTTATAGAACGTGACCTTTTTCCTAAAACTTTACAGAAACAGACTGTGAAATATGAATGAAATAAAGTATATACTTGAAAAGTTTGTGGGTTATTTTAATGCTGTTAAACAGTAAAGTCCTTTGTTCCAAAGCATGCTTTACATACAGCTCCACAACAGCATGTTGCCCGTGTGGGAAAGTGCAGATCCAAAAGTGATACTATGATGTATCTCTCTGAAGAGAGTTTTGTGAGCTTTAACAGTATGTGTGAATTAAAGGGTCTTTGGGAGGAGCATGAGTAGAAGTGGGCTGTAAGAACCCTAAAAATATATTGTCGTGGGTGACCATTGCCATAGATCTGTCATGAACAACCTGGAAGGATTTTTCCACTTCTGAACTGTTATTCCTATGTGATGACTGTACATTATGCTCACCCTCTGTGCAGGTTGAACTCCTACACTGCATCTTAATTCTGTCAGCCAGGGATGCAGAAGTTCTAAATTGTGAAGTAAGGATCTTGGCTACTGAAAGAATTACTTGAGTGAAAAATTTTACTCTCTTGAAGAACATTCTTCAACTAAACCTGTATACCAGCTTTTCACTAAAACACATTTTTCAAAATGTGGCCATCTTTACCCAGTCTTTTCTTTGTTCAAAAATTACTCTTACAGTGCAAACTAGGCAGTTGTGCCCAGAACATACAGCAGCCTTGTCGCATGAG